ATAATCTACCGACCACCGCACGCCCTAATCCGCTCTATGGCGGAGAAGTACCCGGATACGTTATGGGAGATACCACTCCTCAACAATTCTCCCAACACCAAGAACAAACCAGAAGCGAATGGTGGGAAGGAAGAGAAAGAGAAACTCATCGCCCTAACCATCGACGACGCTCCCAGCGCCTACACCCTCGACATCCTACACCTACTCGAGCAATACAACGCACGGGCGACATTCTTCCTCATCGGATCACAAATCCCCGGCCGGGAAGGGATACTCCACACGCTAGTGAAGAGCGGGATGGAACTCGGGAACCACGCGATGCACGACGAGCCGTCTGTGTCGCTGGGGAGGGAGGTGCTGGAGCAGGAGATGCAGGAGGTGGAGGGGGTGATTGCGAGGGTGTATGAGGAGGTTGGGGTGGAACGGCCGAGGGATGGGAGGGGGGTGGTGCGGAAGTGGTTTAGACCTGGATCGGGGTTCTTTTCTGGGTGGATGAGAGAGCTGGTAAGGGGGCTTGGGTATAGGATTGTGCTTGGGAGTGTGTATCCGCATGATGCGCAGATTGGGTGGGCGGGGGTGAATGCGTGGCATGTCAGGAGTTTGGTTAGGGAGGGGAGTATTGTTGTGATGCATGATCGGAGGAGTTGGACGGTTGAGGGGTTGAGGAAGGTGTTGCCGGTTTTGAGGGATAGGGGTTTTAGGGTTGTTGGGTTGGGGGAGGCGATGGGGATTGTTGATGCTGCTAATAATGCTGCCGCTGGTGGTTCTACTGATGGGGGAGGGAGGTTGATTGATTGATTGATTGATGGATTGGATATCAGGTGTACAGGTATCATCAACACTAACATACAGGCGGGTTCCTGACAAAAACACACACACGAACAGAGAAATACATGGTATCGAACTACTCGTTTCGCTTCCATTCCTCCACGTTGCGCCGCATCTCTCCCTCCACGTCGTATCCTCGACTCGCGTCTTCCAGCAATTCCTCCTCCCGGTCCCGGTAGCGTTGCTCGGCGTCGCGCCGGCGCAGCGCCACCTGCTTCAGATACATCAGGTCATTCGACTGTACCGCCTCTGCGAACTTGGCGCGCATGCGCGGGGAGTATAGCTGACAGCTTGCTTCGCGGCACCGAGACGGTCCATCGCCAGGGAGCAGTCGCATGGAGGTCGAGAACTTGCGCGCGATGGGATGTTTGGCCCGGACCAACGGCCACACCACGTCATCGTAGCAGTCCTCGCACACTGTCAGCTCTGGCAGTTGCGGCATGTAGTGCCACGTGCTGAGGATCCGTCGGTCCCGCCGACAGTCCCGCAGCACTACCTTGCGTCGAGCGTACGAGAGGAACTCCGTTACGTCGGGGCGCAGCATATGTTCCTGGTCGGCGCGGTTGGCCGCTATGTCCAGGCAGTCGATGTACCGGACAAACCGCGGGCTGTCTGTCAGGAAGTCGCAGGCTCGTTCCTGTTTGGTGGAGCTCCGCTTGAAGGTGTCCCGGTGCTGCGGCATCAGGACCCGTAGGTTCCGCACGCATGCAGAGCACACATTGAACTGCGGGAGGTACATGTTCGTTTCCGGGTCCACAATCCGGTACCAGTGCTGCTCAGTGATAATGCGTCCTGGGCACGGCTTGATGCTGAGGGGTGGTCGCGTGATTTGGTGCAGCAGTTCGAGGTGGTCTAGTTGCTTCTTGAGCGTCTGCATCCATGCCAGCCTGGTCCAGGGCTCGCTCATGGAGCAGCGGATTTTCTCTCCACGGGATCGGGGACTGGCTAGGACGAAGTGGTCGCGGAACTCCGACTTGCGCATTTGCTTCATGCATGACGGGCAAATATTCAAATGAGGTAGTCCCTTGACTGTGTGCCAGTCCTGGTATCCGGCGATGGGAGTCGATCTGGGGCAGGGCGGGAGGAAAAACGGCCGTTTGGGCGATGTCTGACGGACAGCATCTTGCGATGAACTTCGATGGCGAACAGCGTCCTGTGAGGAGCTCCGTCGGCGTGGTAGTGGTGGTGGCTCAGGAATATCCTCGGGAGTCCGTGGGAGCGACGAGGACCTCTGCGGCACGTCATCTAGGAAAGATACGGCCCGCCGGGCTGGCAGCTGAGCGGTTGACTGAGGTTTGTCGCTTGAGATTGATCGGCCTGCTGGCTTAGTGGCCAATCCCGGACGTGGTGGAAGTTGTGGTGCCGGGCCTGCAGCTGAGGAGGACGCCTCATGTTCATCCGCACGGCGGTCAGTAGCTGGCTCCTTGGGCGTCGACAAGGACCTAGGACGGGTTTTTGGGGCGGTGCTCTTGGGCGCTGCAGTAACAGCAGGGGTCGTGGATGGCTCCGCGGGAAGTTCAACCGGGACACTGGGTTGATCAGTAGACGGGGGACTAGGCGTCTTCGGCACATCGCTTGAGCCTCCTTTGGCACGGAGTTCTTGTCTCTGGCGGATTTTCTCTTCCAGCCTTTCTGCCACGGTGAGTCCAGTGGGCGACTTTTTGTCCGTTTGAGGCGCGGCAGGTTTGTTCACAGGTTCAGGCTTGGTTTTGGACTTGACTGTAGCCGAGTCGGACTGGTAGCCGGATTTAGTGGCGAGGGCGTCGGCGGAGCGGCCATGTTTCACACTCCCAAATCGCCTGGGCAACGACGGAGTAGACTTGCTTTGTGTGACGGCAGGAGTGCGTATGTTCGAAGCTCTCGAGGCATCCCGGGAACTCTGGGCTGTATCCCTCTTAGGCGGGCTGTCTCTCTGGGCTCTAGTATCCGCCCTGGGGCGGCCTCGCGTCGTAGAGTCCTGCCTCTGAACAGCTGGCTTCTTGGGTTGGTCCTGGGGTTTCTCTCGACTTGCAAGTGGCGCGGACAACGAGACTGCCTGGTCATCCCCGACAAGGTAGAGCATCGGGTCCTGTTTCTCATCCACCGGGGTTGGCGGCCCTACGTTGTCCTCGGAGCTGCTGTCACGGCTGAAGTCCTCATAGATGACGGTCGTCTCCTCATATGAAGAGTAAGAGAAAACATCCACAAGGACTGGGTATTGGTCGACGGTTCCGCGGGAGCAAACACCTTCGAGTCCGGGCATTTCTCCAATTTGGGACGATCCGTGTAATTCGCGGGAGAGGGAAACAGCTTCGTCTTCCACACATGGCGACGGCGGCCAGTGGGTCTTCTTGCGCCAGCGCAAGCTCATCTTGGTGGTAGAATACATTGGTAATAGAAACAGAAGAACAAAGAACTTTTAGCAAAGAAAAGCAAAGCTCCAACGGGAAAGTATCGGTCCTGGGGGCTATCCTGCGGTGGCACGGTGGATCAGAAATACTTTCCGGGCAGTTGGCATCATATATCCGTCGAGCATCGGACTCACTCGAGAAAGGGTCTCGAAAGGATGAGCAAGAAAAAATAGCACACACACACACACACAAGAGCGTTCGGCAAACAGCAATTGGCACGGGAGTGATCCAGATGGAACAGAGAACAGTCAATCAACTTGCAGATGAGACAGTCAGATGGCCTGGGGTCCTTTGTGAGCGGCTAGAATTATGTATTAAGCGATGGAGAGGTTAGTTTCTGATGTACACACCCTAGGAATCGGGGGAGTTGCGAAGAGATTTTTCGAGAGGCTATATAAAGTAGACAGACCCCAATGGGAAACCTGGTCGGGCAGCGCCTCTCCGGGGATGGTGGCCCTATCAGGGCCTGGGCTCAGACATTGGGCGTTAACAGGGAACGAATCAATCCCGCTAGCCCTGAAACATGGCGATCGTGGCCAGACGTCAAGCGTTGGGAACGAATGGATCTCCTTTAGCCATGTCAACAAGGAGTCGCTCATGAAACCATCCCATCCCTATGCAGGTGAGGTCAAGCGTGGTCTGTCAGACTGTGGGACAACCTGTGTTGGCAGATTCATTCATTCGCTATCCCCGCTTTCCGTCGACCGATTAGGTACACTGACGGGCGAAAGAGATTTTAGTCTGCGGGAAAGGCGCCACTTTCGAGTATTGGCGTGGATGATTGTTGGTCTAGTATACAGTAGGCACAGCACGTCGTGAGCCCGACACGCTTTTTGGCAAAGCCACACAGCCTCCGCTCAAGGGATACCGGGCAACTCGGCACATTGGGCGTCATCAGCTACTGGTGCCACCTTTTGGGATGAGCTGCATGCCCCCTGACCGATGATGCTGGGGAGATCAGTAGCTTCCAATGATATAGGATTCACTGTTGGAAGCGACACTGCTATGACATCAGTGGGAAAGACGGTGAAAGAGCAAACGGTGGCAATTTGCATAGCGAGGCGGTAACACAGAGGGGGCTGAGTTGTCTGGCTGAACTGGAAGATGCATAATGAAGTTTTCCGCGGAAGGGATGAAGAGGGTGAAGGCCCAATGGATGGAGGAAAGACAATCCGGAATGCTTCTGGAGAAGCACGAGTATATGTCCCGATCGGGAATTTATGCAGCAAAGGAATAATATCGCTATGCAAAAACTGACTCAGCTGTGTACGGCACGGTCCGTCGGCAGGAAGCCGACATTTGTCAGCTATATTCCCGACGGTTCGGACTTGCAGCCGATGGCGTCACTCCGTCGGATGAAGAGGTGGCCATTCTATTGACTCCAGAATTATTGCCAGAGAGTAGGAAAGGAGTCGCTGAATAGCTGAAACAGCGAATATCAATGAACGCAGTAGAATATACCGACCGAAAGGTCTGCTTCAGATCCCGGTGATACAGTGCGGAGATGCGTCGGACATCCTGACCCAATATCCGCAAGCGCAACGCAGAATAATGAAGAACTGCGGGGAAGAAGCGCAGAAAATCAAGCTTCAAATGACGGGAATCGACTGCCTCAAGTCGCGGTCCACTTTCGGCAAAAAACCAACCAGCAGGACTGTCCAGCTCCGTCAATCGTAGCCGGGGGAAGAACTTCCACTACCCCCCACCCGACTATCCGGATATACTTAACCCACCTATTGTCCCACCCCTCATCGCGCAACTAGAAATACCCCCGATTATCCAATGCCCCTCCATCGCGTCTTTCCTCGTCTTATCCGATCCTCTATCCCATCCATCACCACTACTACTACCTCGACCCTGTCTTCCCCAGCGATTCAACGACTCTCCGCAATCAACACCCACCTCCACCCACCCATCGCATCCCCCATCCGCACCCTCACCACCATGTCCGTCCCTCAAACCATGAAGGCCGTTCTGGTCGAGAAGCTCGGCGGCCCCGAGGTCCTCGAATTCAAGTCCGACCACCCCGTCCCCACGCCCAAGGAAGGCCAAGTCCTCGTGAAGAACAATATCTCCGGCATCAACTACATCGACACGTACTTCCGCACAGGCCTCTACCCCTCCGCGAAGCCCGAAATCCTGGGTCGCGAGGGCGCCGGTACCATCGTCGCATTGGGTGACGGCCCCAACCCCTACAACTTCCAAGTCGGAGATCGGGTGGCCTGGCTCAGCACTGGCGGATATGCCGAGTACACGGCGGTGCCGATGGCCAAGACGATCAAGATCCCCGAGGGGATCACGGACGAGAACCTGATGGCGTCATTCCTGAGTGGGTTGACGGTTCTCACGTTGGCGAAGGAGACGTATCCCGTGCAGAAGGATGAGTGGGTGTTGGTGCATGCTGCGGCTGGCGGGGCGGGAACCCTGATGACGCAGGTGCTGAAGTCCATTGGTGCGAAGGTCATCGGAACGGCTGGTGGCCCTGAGAAGTGCCAGCTGGCGAAGAGTCTGGGTGCTGATGTGGTGATTGATTACCGCAGCGAGGAGGGCAAGGATTGGGTGAAGCAGGTGAAGGAGATTACGGGTGGTAAGGGAGTTGATGTTGTTTTCGATTCGGTTGGCAAGGATACTTGGGAGGGAAGCTTGGAGAGCGTTAAGCGCAAGGGTACTATTGTTTGGTTTGGCAATGCTAGTGGTCCGGTGCCGCCTTTGCCTTTGCAGTAAGTTGATTCCTACTCTGGTTCGTGGTGTGAGGTGCGATGCTGATGGCTTTATAGGAAACTCTCCCCCAAGTGTGTCAAGGTCGCTCGGCCTCAGCTCTTCGGCTACATTGAGACTCGCGAGGAGTTCGAGTTCTACGTCAATGAGCTGTTCTCGCTTCTCCTGTCTAACAAGCTCAAGGCCAAGGTTCACAAGGTGTACCCCTTGGAGGAGGTTGCCCAGGCTCACACTGATCTGGAGGGTAGAAAGACCACCGGCAAGTCGATGCTGAAGCCTTGAGCTGGTGCAGATGCTATGAATATATGTTCCAATAGAAATCAATTTGTTTCGACTATCTAGAAATGAGCCGTGACTAAGATGAGAATATGATAGTAGCTGTTAGAATCCTAAGAATTGAGCTTCCGCGGACGGGCCTGCTTTGGCGATGCTCACAAAGTAACAGACGAGTCATCCTCTCCATCACTCTCTGCTTTGGCTAAATCTCTCGGCTCCTTCCATCCAAGCATCAAGTCATTCACGAGAGGGGTGTAGTTGGAACCATACGTTCTATACGCATCCTCGAAATAATGGAATCCACAGTTCAGCTCCCATACCGGAGTGATTACCTTCATTCCCGGGTAGCAGTACTGAAGTATATTGTCCTCCATGAAGAACTCAAAATACTTTTCCGGCTGCTGTGCCACTTGCTCCTCCGGACTGAGGTCGAAATCAGGCATACCTGGATCTCGGTAAGCCCTTGCTAGCAGCTTTCCGACGGGAACAAGATCAGGAGCGTGCGTCTGGTAGAACTCGCGGACGTCTTCTCTGGGGGGATGAACTGCGGTAATCTCGAACCCATCAATATCCTCAATACGCACTGCGCACAGCGTATCATTCTCGGTCAATTCCTGGAACCGGAGGGCATGACGATTCTCTCCCGCGCCGGCGAGGGCGAATTTGACGATTTTGCGGGCTGTCTCAGTCGTCAGGCGAGGCGCATCGTCCTTGGAGTTTTTCCATTGATTGTCCTCCACATATGTGTCATGGAGCTCTCCGCCGAAAAGCAAGGAGCAACACGAGTTGAAGTCACCAGGGCTTTTGGCCATGAGTTGGTGATTGTTCCACAGCTCCCTTGTAGCTATATCGCACGAATTCCTGGCCTGATCGATGTTATCGTTGTACTCCGGGCATACATCATGGTAGAGGAGGTAGGACAGAAAGTTTCGGATGGTGACTGTCGCCAGCTTAATCATATCTTCGGTTTCCGGATTGAAATAGTATGGAAAGAAGGAAGTCCTATTAGGAGTCAGTCAAACGTAGTTTCAAGGCGTGTATAACTCGTACAGAAAGCCACGAACGACTGCATCAAAATCCACGGTAAGGTTAGATCTGTCCTTGCCTACACTGGTCATTGACCGCGCCTGTAGGATTTGTTCGCTGTCCATTTGCTGAAGGTCACGGCCGTCCAACCCCCCGAACATTCTCTGACCGACGTTCACCCCGCCATACGCCAGATATTTCAGGAAGACGTCTCTTCTGTCTGACTCCAGGCGCCGATTCTTTTGGTAGCGTAGAAGGGCATCCTCAATCCGGCTTGGACTAGTCAGTATGAGTGCCAAATCCATGAGTTGGCAAGACTTACTGGGTGAGAGGTCGCGAGCTTCACGCATATTGCGGTTAGCAGGTGCTAAACATGGAAGTTTGGGGACATACACATTGTAGAGCTCCTTCTCAGCGCTAAACTCCTCGGGGGTAATGGGCGCGTCGACGTAGTACTCTTCGAAGCCGGTTGGCTTGTTCTGTAGACCTTAGTCTGGCTGCAAGTCGTTGCATCAGTTAGCATTCTCACCTTTCCACGCTTGCTCTTGGGGCGCGTCTTGTTCTTCTTCTTTTTCTTCTTGGCCTGGTCAAACTCAATGGGCAACTCCTCGAGTGACTGGGATCTAGGACTGTTAGGGGCAGAATCTGGTTTATCTTCCGGTGTTTCTGGTGATTGGTCCGTCTGCTGAGGATCGTTGATGGTTTTAGATGCAGCTGGGCGAAAAGGAAGCTTTTTGCCAGTATCTGAAGGATCCTGAGAGTCCGACATCGTGAGTGCAGTAACAGACCCCTGAGATGAGACAAAGAATAAGGAATCGCCCTTAAGAAGAGGATGAGGGGATGGAGGAAAGTGAGGGAAGATAGAGAGAGATAAAAGCTGGAGGGGTAACCTGGACGTGTGGGAGATGGAACTCGGAAGTTGCACGAGGAACACCGTGAAACATTGCTTTGGAGATCTTCAGTTTATTGACAGTAGATTAATTCTGAGGCTTTCTAGATTCACAGCCAATGATGGAAGAATCGAACGTGATAGAAAGCACCGACAGTGAAGCAAGTAAGAGGGATTCACCTGTTAAATGACTGGGACAAAGCCGGTTCCTTCCATGCCAGTATTTATTAGGCTGGTAGATGCCGTTCATGCCATGAAGTGATATCGATACCTCATCAGAAATTGTAAGAGACGCATTGATTGGACTGCTACAGATTAAAACTATTGTGAAGATTCATGTCTATGGATAAACAGTATTGAATTAGCTCAATATATGCCACATTGACTAGGCACCAAAAGCCAATTCCAGTTATGTGAGTAAGAATATTGTAATGCCACTACATTGGGCCATATTAGATCTCTGAGCCTTGCTGCTTCCGAGCCTACCATTTAGGCCTTTCGAATTCCAGGGAAGATGGCGTTACTGACTGCTGCGATTAAGTTTCTAGGTGAGAACCAAGCGTGGGTGATTGAGTGTCTTGGAAATCGACCCAGATAAGAAAAGCGCTTTGCTTGGGGCAGCTGTCCATTGTGGTAACTATGAGATGACTCTGCTGTTGATTGTTTACAAAAGTTATCCGCACAGGGGCCAAGCGTGGGATATATATTGAAGTATGAGCAGATCCATATGCCAACATCATGCCGCTGCATATTGCGAGCTTGTACTGGAAGGGGGATACTATCCGCACGGTGATGGAGCATTGGCGAAGAGAGGATATGAAGTTGCCAGCAACGATGGTGGTCTGCCAGGATAACCGGGGTCAACTCTCACTGCAAAGGCTTCAGCCGCATGATGCTGCTGGACACGGTGGGTCTGTTTCTGGAGACCAACTCAGAGACGGTGAAGGTTTCCCATTACTAGGGAATCCCTGCTGCAAGTTAAGCCATCTAGCCTCATGCCAAAACCAATGGCCCACTTATCCCTCTACTCAAATTGTTGCCAGCGGGTGGAGCAGATGCCCGCGTCGGTAACTCCGAGGGACGTAATCTATTGCATCAACTGACTCGCGCATACCAAGATCCCGAGTGTCTGAGCCCAAATTTGCGAACCAGCTGCTGGAGCAAACAGGGGTCAGTGACAAGGCTGCCATTGAGGCAGCCCGGCAGCTTATTTAGCGGGGTGCAGATGTTAATTGGCGCAATTCCCAAGGCATTACCCCTTTGCACGAGGCTATGCGAGGGGTGATACGCACTTGGGAGGATGAGTCTACAGGTCATGCCGAGTTCCTACACGCCAAATGTCTGCCGCAAGCCCCTGGTGCTGTCATAGGAAAGTCGGAAGAGGCAGGAGTCTCGATGGGTCAGATCAATATAGCAGGAGAAACCCCAGCGCAGGTCCGTTTGAGGTGAGGAAAGTCGTGGAAAGTTGCGGCGGGAGATGAAAGCGCAACAGTGTGCAATGAGAGGGCCAGAGAGAAGGAGGCAAAACGATAACTTGAACATACAGTCTTGTCTGTGTAACTGGCTCTGATTAACTCAGTGTCAGTCGAAGTTCCTGGGCCTATGGATTACATATGGCTTTCGTACATAGACTCCTATCATGATGCAACATGCAGATAACTCACCATCACCATGGAATGGAATTAGTCAAGGATGAGTGAGTGAATTAGACCATGACTCTCTATGGCACCATATCTGAGCAGGCTGAAATCTGGCACCAGTATAAGCTGACGTGCTGGTTATTGGTAATTTTCTCAGCAAAGCGCGGGTGAAATCCAGTGGAACGATGAAGTATAGAGAAGAACTTCCAGCGAATGATCGCCGGCATGCGGCATCATAGCGCCTGATATTATACTTCCTCTGGGCTGCACTCGAGCCTTCTCGGATGATCACATTTCTAATACCGACCATTCCTTTGAGTTCATCTCGGGGATCCCTGGGCGGTGCAGGTTTGCTCGGGCCGCCTTGTGTTTCTTTGGGGGAAAAGGTCAGTCCATTGTCCAGCACAAGAAGAGCGGATGCTTGCATGATTCTCCGCGGTTGCACGTCACTTCAGCTCGGAACAAAACCAGCAACTTCCACCACTTCTTTTCACTCACCACCACCTCCTGTGGCTTGTCCCTCCTTTTTCTGCCAACCCTTTGTTTGCCCTGTCGACCTATTACTCTCTCCTTTGTTTGATTGCCTCTTTTCCCTCCTTTTACTCTTCTCCGGCATTTGCCTAGATATATATACCATATACATCTTTTTTTTTCCTCCCTTACCCGACTCGTCCTGCGCCCTTCCGCATCGCTTCCATTTCTCATTGCCCGTGACTCAACTCATGCGGAATGCCGTCTAGAATCCAACGGTCTCTGTTGGACAGTGAATAATCCCTTAGTTCTTCGGACACCCAATATGTCTTCGTCGCGGTCGGACAGCTTGAAAACCCAGAAACTGGACACCGACAGCTTTGTCGCTTTTGACCATGCCGCCGCTGGCCAGTAAGTTCTGCCTCTCCGCCCTTGCCGCAAGATACGAGATGCTTCATGGCCAGCACTCCTATTTTCTCCCCCTCCCCAAGAAATGTTCGTTTGCTCTGCATACGAGCCGGTACAGGTTACTGACGTCGTGTTAAAATTACAGCGACGGTGTCCAATGCACTTTGTCCGGCTCCTTTATCGCAAAGCCCTGCACCCCCGAAGAAGTCGCGTTTTACGAGTCTAGCGCCCTCCACCCGGAATTCAGAGAGTTCATCCCTACATACATAGGGACTTTGACCTCTGCCGACCAGCAGCAGTTCTCCGCCATCGAAGCTGCGCAGCAGTCCGGTGCGATTGTTCTCCCCGGATCAGACTACTCCTCGACATCGGGCACGCCGGGCGCGACCGCACCGGCACAGCCCAGCGCGGCAACCTCGGGATCGGCGAGTACTGCGCAGGATCTACCATGGGTTCCTTCGAACGGGAAGAAGCTGGAGACAGGAATATCTATTGTGCTGGAAAACGTGGCCTCGGGGTTTAAGCGGCCGAATGTTTTGGACGTGAAGCTGGGCGCAAGGCTATGGGCTGATGATGCGCCGCCTCAGAAGCGAGCGAAACTAGATGCTGTATCCCAGGAGACGACAAGCTCAAAGCTGGGATTCCGGATTGCGGGAATGAAGGTCTGGACGGGCGTGAGTGGAGAAAGCGACGAAGGAAGTAAAACCGATCCGTATGCTACGAAATACGAGGGTTCCGAAGGGGCGCGGGGCGAGGTCATCGAGAAAGATGGATATAAGCGCTACGACAAGTGGTATGGGCGGTCTCTCACTGAAGACACTGTTATAGAAGGGTTCCAAAAATTCCTTGCTGGTGCCAAAGCTGGGGCCGTTGACCGCTCCCAGTTGGTCGCCCAGAGATTGGCGGACGAACTGAAAAAGGTACAGCATGTGTTGGAGTCAGAGGAAAGCCGGATGTATTCTTCAAGTGTTTTGATTGTATATGAGGGAGATCCAGAAGCGATGGAACATGCGCTTGTGGAGGAACAAAAGCCCCGGCCTGAACGGGGTGAGTCCGAGGACGAAGACGAAGACGAGGAAGAGGAAAACATGGAATTCCACATCCAGCAGGGCGGGTCAATCCAGGTGGTTGATATCCCGGTCGGTCAGGGAATCAAATCGCACCAGGCAATCAATATCAACATCGACCCCGAAATGGCCGAGCTGGCCGATCTGGGAGACCTGGGGGATCTAGAAGATGATGAGGATGAGGATCCCCCGAAGGTGCATGACCTTCGTCTGATCGATTTTGCCCACGCCAGTTGGACACCAGGTCAGGGGCCGGACGAGAATGTGCTCAAAGGGATACGGAACTTGATCAAAATCCTGTCCGGACTTGCCGTCGAGTAAGTGTACGATATGCAGGCCAAGGCATCGAAACTCGCGGGCGATTTAGATGCTATATGAAACAATTTGGTGTTAGCGAATATACAAATGTACATCAATTATATGCTACTGAATACCGTTGCATAATATAACTTCTTCATGTTGAGGATAGGACATCTTCACAATCCACATGAATGAGCGCTGTGCACATGGCTCTCAGGCTTAGGTTAATAATGCCAAACTGAGGAGCCTCCTACATCAACCCAAGCATGTTAGCTCAGGGGAAGAGCGCCGGGCTCATAACCCGGAGGTCCCTGGATCGAAACCAGGACATGCTATCTGATTCTTTTTTTTCTTTTTCCCCTTTGCTCTCTTACCAACACAGCTGAACAGTATCAAGCTGTCCGTACAGACTTTTTATTCATCTCTTCTAATTTAACACGGTCTGCTCCTTGACAAGGCTACATGCCATCCCTCAAAGATATAGCCTGACATTGTTGGTCCTTTTCTTAATCTTCAAGACTCTACACTAGCAAAATAACTCACATTTTGACATTATCAGACATCACTTCATTACAGGGCATGCTACAGGAGATAATCGAGCGCAATAGATGTATATATGATGCGGAGGACTGCACTGCACAGTATACATCTGCAGCATGGCATACATCTATCAATATACTATCCCCAGCGGTAGATCGCGAAGATCTTAGAAAGTGCCAGGCAACGACAACCCACAGACCGCTAGACCAACGTAGTAATCCAAATCATCCCTCTTATCAGCCAAGTCATGAGGCTATCATCTTCCATATACTAATGGTACCTTTCACATGTCTCCCAGCGACGCCGGGCAAATGAATTGTTGGGCTTACATCATGGTAAAACCATCATGGCTGATATCAAGATGTATATACGGTGCTTAAGAAGATAGACTGTAGCAGAACGATTTTTCGAATGTTAAATCAAGATGAGGCTGCCTTGGCGAGGAGTTGCTACTTGTGCTGTGTGATCTATACGAGGTCTCTACTGATATACGATACCACATGCCTACATCACTTGCCAGTATTATCATGAGCTGGCAAGCTTGATGAGAGGACAACCTGATCATGTGGAATATTAAAAGCTTGGAGTATATTCTGATAGAGGAATAATCTGCTTCTATCTATGCATCTAGTAACGAGTAACTACACTTTCTCCACACAGGATATGCACAGAACCAACCCACCAACGATACTGAGTTTCCTCATTCCTCATACAACACCAAATGATAAATAGAAAATCACAGTCTACCATAGAAACCACAAACCACAAACCTGAAATAGAAGTAGAAGGATGGAAAAACACCTCCGTTTGTAGCCGGACATCTGATATCACGTGAAGCGCCGCCGCACATTGAAATCTAGGAACAATCACACATTCATTCCATCCATACCTTATTGAGTCATATTCTTAACAACACAGCTCCCTTCAACCAACCCAGCATGTTAGCTCAGGGGAAGAGCGCCGGGCTCATAACCCGGAGGTCCCTGGATCGAAACCAGGACATGCTAACTAAATGATCCATTTTTTTCTTTTGTGTCTCATGCAGAGTGGATTCGCGGTGTCACGTATGGAGTAGATATGGATACTACCGCATTTCGCTCTTTTTACTCACTCACTCACCAATTTGGCAGTCGTCTTTTTGTATGAGATAGACTAGCTTCTTAGAATATTAATGAATCCACGTCTGTATCCAAATAATAAATAACCCATTAACTACGAAGACCTGGTCCGTGTATATAATGCAAATAAAATCATAGACCATGGACCAGTCCCCAACCAAGCACAAAATCTTACATAATCCATCCGCTCTCCGCTCCATCTCAAACCCATCCCAATCATCCATCGCAAACCCGCCGGTCCGCATCAGCCAAAAGCCAACAGCACAAAAAACCAAAATGTTTCCCACGCGAGCTCTCTTCTCTCGCTCGGTCTGGAAGGGTGAGTCTGACCTCTTATCCCTCTACTCATTTTCCTGGAGAAATTGAACCTAACTAACAACGCATACCTACAGGCCCGAACATCGTCCCGTACGTCGTCGCATTTATTTCCCTTCTCTTCTTTACCTACATTATAATCTGTTATCAACACCGCAACTCAATGCCACATTACCTTCGACTGTTATTTAATTAAACTCGTCGCTGAACACACATACGATGGATCTAGAGATATATACTAACGAAAGCTGTGAATAGTCTCCCTCTCCCCCGCAAACTCCCCGCTCCGCCAGGAACACCTCCGATCAAGACGCAGAAGCGCGGCGCTACGATCCTGCCTAACTTTGTGGGATTGAAGTTCCAGGTTCATAATGGGAAGGTTTATCAGGATGTTGTGATTACTGAGGAGATGGTTGGGAGGAAGTTGGGGGAGTTTGTTGCGTGAGTTTTTTTCCCTTCCCAACCTTTTTTTATTTTCTCTTGTTATAGCTGGGGTGGGATATAGGAGACTGGGGAGGTTGGAGGACTTGGGCATTAAAAGGAAGAGTGGGAGGTACTGGAGGAATGAGAGATTCGATTGGCGTGTGATGACGATGATTATGGAATTGCTGCTAACTGAATGGTTTCGATAGGACTCGGAAGAGATTCACGTACAAGCAGTCGAAGAACAAATGATTGCTTTTCGGGTTGTGTGTGGCTGTCTCGCTATGTGGCTATTCTGCTGTGTGCTCTGCATTGGAATCTTACTGGGTCCTCTGTGATATGGGGATAGGTAGATTGTCAGCTTAAGAGACATGGTAGGCAAGCAGACAAGGCAGACGGACAGACAGGTGGTGATTTTCATATTTGCATGGCTAGGTTCTTTTTCTTATTATCTCGGGCGTTATATCCAGTTCCTTACTGCTTATTCTTCCACCAATGTATATCTACGTGTTGCATGTAAACTACTAGACGGACCATAAAATTCAACAGGTCAATGGACTTCTCAACACAGAATATCAAGTCACTTCTATTATTGTCTCAGTTATTGTCTTCTTTCTTTTTGTTGGTTGCCGCCCTTCCTACCATATCATATCATATCTCGATAACTCCGCCCTAAAACGCCTTTTGTATATTTCAAACTCGGCCCACATGCAGGATATCGTTCGGCCGTTGCCCAGTATTTTACGCCAGCAAGCAAAGGTGAAAAGAAAAAGTAAAGTAAAACAGCACATCCCATCCCGTCCCGTCCCCGATCTACCCATATTCCCATGCCCATGCCCATGAACATCCAGCACGTTTGCGACAAACAAACCCCCCAAAGCATTCCCAAGGTGGGAAAAAGAAGGGGAAAAGAAATCACCGATAAAACTCCCCCCTCTTGACACTAACCCCATACTCCGACACCGCCATACCCAAATCCTCCATCGTAAGCACCGTCCGGCCCTGTCCGGAACCTCCCGACCCACCACCTCCGAACCCAGGTCTCTGGATTCCCAAGTGCGTGCCCGCTTTGCCCTTTCCTGCATCGCCGCCTGATACGCCAGTCGCAGCACCAGCGGACCCCACACCTGCAGCACCGGCGGGCATGTTCAACCCCGAGGCGGCGTTCAAACTGCCCATGGGGTTGCTGGCAGAAGAGCTGTTGGAGGCGCGAATGCGCGCGTACTGATACGAGTCGGCGGCAATATCGGCAATGAATTTCTGGGTTGCGAGAGCGAGGAGGCGGGCGAGGTGTGGTGGTGTTTGATTGGGGCCGTTACCCGGAGGCGGGAGACCGGCGAGAGTGAGGTAGTGGGCTGTTACAGCATCGGGGATCTAAAGATATTCGTGTTAGTAAGATATAGGACGGAAATATGAGGTGGAAGTAAACGAGGGTGGTAGTGGAGAGAAAAAAGTGACATAGGAGGGGAATCCAGGTGGAAAAGCAAGAAATCTTACAATCGGCGCATATTCATCCATCTTGCCCATGAACTCCCGCAAGCTGGTTTCTTTCTTGGCAGGCGCTGCGGCGGCCGCCAGAGCGTCCACGGAGGTGGGCGCGGGGATGGAGTTTTCGGCCGCAGCGGCGGCGTCATTGCCAGCGGGATTCTGATTCGGCATGTTGGCGGTGTTATTTGCGTTTAGGTCGATGTCTTGTTCGATAGATGCATCCAGGTTGTTGTCACCGGTATCTGGTTCTTGTTTGGGGACGACAGTCGCAGAGGAATCTTGCGATGCTGCGGGAGCTGGAGCTGGAGCCGGGGCGGAAGTAGGAGCAGCAGCAGCAGCAGCAGCTGGAGGGGGAGGTTGCGAAGCCGATGAGTCGGCCATGGTGGTAGTGTTAATAGTGAATGAAGGTGAGTGGTGGTAATGGGTGGTTGGTGGCTGGCGAGCAAGGGAGGGCCGGCCAGAGCTAGTCCAATAGTGAATGAAGGAGCGCGTCGGCGGTCAGACAATGAGCCGGGATGGCGGTGGTGCGCTGGTTCTGAGTTACCAGCACAAGGGAATAAGCTGCAGGGGGGTGGTGTGGGAGGAAGACGAAGAATGAATGGGACTTGAAAGATGGATGGGATGGCGGAGAGTCGACTGGTCGGGTCGCGCTGCCGGAGCGGAGAGCCATTCGTCTCTCTGCTCTTGTCCGCGGTCGGCCCGATTCTGCTACTATAGTATATCTTTCTGGCTACGTCTACAGCAATTACATGCTTGATATTGGCCAAATAGTCCATTCATAAAGTACAGTCTTGCATTAAGTCCCTAATGCTGCCTCGCAATTACGAAAAATGAACAATGTTGGTACACAGCCCCATCTCTACATGGCCGTTCGTCTCCCCAGCAAGCAAAGCACCCTCGAGACCCCCAATCAACTCCCCCGGACAGTCACATCGGTAATCAACATAATCGCTAGAATAGATGTCGCAAAAGAAAACATAGAACACATTTTGATACATGTGGAAAAAGAGCAAAGAAGAATGAGATGGACATTGAGCAGAAGCTTAGACACAAGCCATGACGGGCGCTTTATTGTCCAAGATGCATATTGGGATCAACATGGTCTTGATGGTGGGTATGATGCGGGTGATGCTGGTGATGGTGATGGTGGTGGTGATGCTGCCCAAAGGCTTCACCATGCACCTCCTGTCCCAGCGTCTGCATCAGGTTCTGCTCGGCTGTCTGGTCAAACGCCGCATGCGCTCCAGCATCTGGTGGCAGTGGCGATGCCGACATATCGTGGCCGTGTGTCATTCCAACCGGCTGCGCATGTGCACCGGCAAGCGCCATCATGCCCTTGATGCCTTCAACATGTGCCTTGTCCTCTTCTCCCTGCTTCTTCTGCCGTTCGCGGGCCTCGCGTTTGGCTGCCTGCGCGGGGGCACGCGTCTTTAGCTCTCCTGTCACAAACTTCAGGTAATACGGCACTTCAATGCCACTCTTGAGGAAGAACAGCTTCAGGTTCCGCGCCTTGTCCTTTAGTTGAACCTGGTTGCGGTCCTTCAGCGCTTCGCTGATAGTGCCTCCTGGGCCAAACATGGCAAGAATCTGACTCCAGTGCGGGCCCTTGACCCGGTCCAGCCCGGCCATCAATGCGTTCTCTTCCTCCGTCGTCCACGGCCGACGCTGGCTGGGCAACCCAGACTTGCGGCTGCTAGGCGACGACTTGGCAGATGCCGCCATGCGCGCGCGCTCGTAGAGTACTTGAGTCGGCTGCGACTGCGAGTAGTGTGGTATCCCCGGCATATAGCCATGGTTGGCTGCGGCTGAGTTGGGTCGCGGAATCGAAGCAGGCGTCACATGGTTGTATTGCTGGAAGTTGGCCTGCAGGGGGCTTTGCTGGAAAGTTAATTGACCGGGCGGTTGCTGGTAACCGGACGGAGCGGGACTATGATGATACGGCTGCTGGTGAGTCTGCTGATGCTGCATCTGACCCGTGGGCTGGGCAGCAGAATAGCCATGCAGAATCTGGCCCCCCTGCTGCGGCGCATGCTGAGGAGGTTGCTGCTGGAGTTGCTGGGGTTGATGCATCTGATGCTGTTGTTGGTGCTGCTGTGGTTGCTGCTGCGACGGTTGCTGTTGCTGGTTCTGTTGGGCCTGCTGCTGCTGAGAGCGTCTCAAGCCGTGGCCTTGCAATGCAATTTGCGCCGCACGAGCCGCACGCGCAACCAAGTCGCCGTGCATGTTTCTGTCAACAGGAACATCAGGTGGCTGGGTCGAGACGGGGAATTGGCCCTGCAAAGGAGCATTGGACGGCTGTGAGTCTCCGTCGGACGAGGATGGTTGTCGACCCTTAGCGGTCTTTTTCGTCTGGCTCATCGTTAGTACAGGCACGTGCAAAGATGAATGATGGGGATTCAGACCTGTTGGTTGCTGATGGTATCGAAGTTCTTGGTGATGTAGGAGCTCAAGTCCCGAAGAAAATCCTCCCAGTGGTACTTGTCCGGCAAGGCCTTCATGGCTTCCTCGTTGTTGACGTCGCTCAGCAGAATGTCACGGCGCGAACCGGCCCGCTTGACAAAGTCCGCTTCACTTGGAGCCAGCTGACGAGTCCCTGGACGCCGATCAAGCAGCTGTTGCTCCAGCTCATCTGGAAACAGGTCGTAAAGCAGCTCGGTTCGGGTTCTTTCTGAATTGTTCATCGATGCGATGAATGCCTGGGTCTTAAGTTCCAAGAACAAGGCACCCTGCACCTTGAGTAGACGGCCACCTTCGGGAACAAACACATCGAGGAAGTTATCGTTGAGTTCCGAAAACCCGATCTCCTGCGTGCCAAAGATACTAGAAACAAAGGATGCTAGATTGGCTTTGCGAATAATATCGATCTGGGAGGATTCGGTGAGCTCCAGCTCTGTAGGCGAAAGGAAGGACTTTTTGCTAGAGTAAACTTTTTTCGTATGATCGAACAGCGACCGCATGGTCGCATAGGCCTGGCCACTCTCGGTCTCGGGTTCGGAAACGAAGGAAGTGATTTCCTGATACGAGGACTTGGCTAGCAGCGACAGAATCTGGGTTGACTAGAGACATCGCGGGTTAGAATCCTGTAAGGAAAGTCACGCGAAGTAAGTCGCGACTTACCAAATTGTCAAGAATGGGCAGACTCTGAATCTTCAGATGTGAGTTGGCTTTGACAAACACCATGCCCTTCGGAGGCGACGCGCTGGAGGTCTCCGCCAGTTGCTGCTGGCCTAACACACATTGTTCCTCCACTCGTTCTGCGTGATTCATGATACTTGAAATCACAGTAGCCATGTCCGAATCAATATCAGCACTGCTTTCTGGTTGTGGCACCGCGCTTTCTGCAGATCCTTCGATGGGAGCGGGCGTGTCTAGAGGACGGTCCACGGGATGGTCCACGGGGTCGACAACACCAGAGCCTAGTGCAGATGCCAATTCTTCTTCAATCTGGTTTCCCGGTACTTGATCTGCAGTCAAGGTGGTCGGTGGAGGTGGCAGTGAAAGGTCAGCCGGCTCGGATTCGAGACGGCGTTTCTTAGAAGCTGGCGGCGAGAGGGAACCGTCATCTTCCTCGAGAGGGTGAGACATTTTGGGGGAAACTGCCGTAAATTCACGTCAACCCTGTGAATGGAAACAAACAGGGCATACAGAAAGACTTCATCACTGCAGAGGACTGGCCCCAGGGTGTTTGATTTGAAGACAATCTACCCAGGGAGCTGCCGGGGCCAGCGGGAGCAGAGACTCCTTCGAACGGCGCGCAGGAGAACTCACCATGAGCGGCGGAATCGGTCACGGAGGGAACAGGCAACTCAGATGAGGCCGCCTCGTCGAGAGACGGGTCTGTACCTCTCGTGTCGACCATGATAGGAACAATTCCTGATGGAAGGGATAGGCGTTGACTTCCAAGAGCAGAAATGAGGGCTTAGGGGTAGGGCGCAGGCGTAGGGCTTTTGGGAAGTGTTAGATTGAGAATCGCCCCCTCAGATTTTTCCTACTTTTTCCCTCTCCGCCCGGTCGGTCGGGGAACTCGGCTGGGGGTGTGGATTCCAGCTCCATTATTTCCTGGGGATACTTACGATATAGATAGTATACTAGCTGGATTTAATTTTCTGTATTATCTTCAAATTCTATTTATTTTTCTTTTCATTCATTATGATTAAAGACAACAATATCCATTTATGTCTGTTTGGTCATTGCCAGGTTCTGTTGTAGTACTTCTGTTGTGTTTCCCCGACCGTCTTCCCTGCCTTTTCCTCTTTCGGAAACCCATTCTCTTGTCTGCCTGGGTGCCTGATTCTTCACTTTTCTCTATACTCAACATTCTGCTGTTACTCCTTCTCTTCTTCCACCACTCTCTGGTTCACTCCCCATCTTGCATCCGGAATAGGCTTCACTCCTTGACTATAAAATCCCTCCTAGTGTATCATTCGATCACTATTTAACCCCTCAGTGGTAGCATTCATCCAAGGTTACTTCCGTCGAATGCTACTCTATCCATGCGTCATAGACTACCTCCTATCTCTTTCTAGACCTCTACTATTAACCATTGCAACACACTGACGTGCTCTAGCTGGTTTATCAGGATACTGGCATCTGCAAAATGAACCCTTCCCTGAGGATGCCAACAAGTGACAGTAGATAGACGCGTCTACCACTATAGCCATGTCGAGAACACCTCCTCCTGCAAGGGTCTAAGTTAACCTATCTCTATAGCATCTACAGGCATGATTAGGAATGCAGACACAGGACTGGTGTGTTTCGAGCAGCTCAGCCCTGATTGTCGGATGGACAAAGGCAATTCCCATGGTTCTTGATTGTAGGCAAGATTATTGCGCTGTTACGTCCGTGGTCTGTACCAGACGTTAACCGACCATTGGAGGAGTCCAGACACGGACCGGTCCTTGAGTTTGACACCTCTAGAACCCTCCTCGCCCTATATTCCATGAGCACTCCCCGCAGGTTCAACATTTTCTATATGACCCGGTTCCGTAGGATGTAACTACCAGTGCTGCCAATGCTTTTTATCTGGGGCCCTCCCACTGTTGGTTGATCGACACTCGTTCGTGTATGCATGAATGTGCTTGGTAGTCTTCACCCATAGTGTCGACTGAGCATCTTCACTTTTCATGAAAGACCGACTTTAAAAAGCCCCACAATGCTTTCTACGCGCCAGTTTGTCGCCCTTGCGGCAATCCTGCAGGCAGCTACCCAGGCTTCGGCTCAGGACCTGAAAGAACAAGTCTGGGCGGTATTCGCTTACACTCTATACGGAGACCGTGTCCCGACAGCCCTGCCTCGTCCCAATATTTTGACGCCATATGGTGCCAACACACTGTATGAAGCTGGGTCTGCTTTCCGAGATCGATATGTTGCAATCCATTCGACCGACGTCAGTCCGAGTACGAGAATCGAGAGCATCTCTACATATGCCCTCGAAGATGAAGATCTTGATATTCTGTCTACCACCGATCCATCGGTCATTGCGTCTGCGCAGGCTTTTATGCAGGGGCTATACCCACCTCTCAACGATACTTACGACGTGCAATATCCTGACCCGTCGTATCTCATGGCCAATGGCAGCTTTGCGACTGCCCCTATGGGTGGCTACCAATATCCACCCATTGTCACCGTGAGCTCGGACGACCCTCAGTCGGTCGTGGTGGCAGGCCAAGATAATTGCTTCCTGCATCAGATCGCCAATGCTGACTACCAGGCTAGCACGGATGCTCAGAAAATGATACAGGAGTCTGACGCGCTCTACAACCGTCTCTATATCCAGGCCCTGTCGGGCGATTTTGACCGCTCTTCGGTCAACTATGCAAACTCCATTGCGGTCTCCGAATTCTTAGAATACCAGCTCTTGCACAACGAGACATTGTTGCACAGCGTCAGCCAAGAGGATATAAGGCTCGCGCGCTGGTATGCCGACCAATATACTTTTGCAACAAACGGCAACTCGGATACATCATTGTCAAGCCCAATCGATAGCAGTGCCATTCGCACAATTGCAGGTCAGACACTAGCCGGAAGTATCTTGGATGCATTCGACACCAATGTTCTTTACCGGGGTACCAGTGGGAAACTGACATTCGTCTTCGGAGGCTACGAGCCTGCTGTGGCTCTTACCTCTCTCGTGCAACTTGCCTCCCCGGCAAATGGAAAATTCTATGGACGACCTGCGCTCGGGGCCTCGCTCACCTTTGAGCTCTTCAGTCTGGAAAACCAATCTTTTCCAACCTATCCTGACCCATCTCAGCTTTATGTGCGGTTCCTCCTGCGCAATGGAACAACTTCACCGGAGTTCCAATCCTACCCGCTTTTCGGTCACAGTCCCAGCAGCATCGAGGTTCCCTATAGCGAGTTCAAGGCTGAGATGCAGGCATTTTCGCTGAATTCGACGCAGGAGTGGTGTCTTCAGTGTGATTCGACTTCTTCAGCTGTATTCTGCCCGGGTATTCTGGATGAAGACGACGGCCCGAGTAGCAGCGCAGCCTCTTCCTCCGGACGCAAAGGAATTAGTCCCGCCGTTGGAGGAGTCATCGGTGCGATTGTGACTCTCGTTGTCGTTGGGTTGATTGCTGCTGCCGGGTTCCTGCTGCTTGGGGTCCGAGTACAGCGTGGACGCAGGCCGAGCTTGGAGGAGATTAAAGGAGGTATTGATTTGGGAAGTGATTCGAACCTGGCCCTGCGGGAACATGCTGCGCCGCCAGCAAAGACGGCAAGGCCTTGAACTTGCATTTGCGGGTGGGCTGATGACCCTTATATCATGGAAAGCAAGATGAGTATAATAATAAAACAGCGGTCTTATGTGATTTTTAGTATTGAGAATCATGTTACTTTAATTCAATACAAAAAGCTATATTCCATACTGGGTGAAATCCATTCTACGTCTAGTCGCAATTGTCCCGGGGAACAGATGGGGTGACACAGACGAGTCAATACAACTTGATCCCATTTTTTTCTTCTTTTTTTCTTTTGATATGTTGCACATATTGAAACAGCCTCGGCCTGTATTGTATGCGTAAGACACACTTCGGGGGGCACGATGTAGGGGTGGGTATCTAGCGTGGGCATGAGGAGACATGAGGGAACATAAGATGTACATAACAGTGGGGAGTTAAGGACAACTTTAGACGGAAATCATAGTAATGACATGAGAAGCTCGCATGACGCCAGGATAACTTGGACAAGAAGACAGATAAGAGAGAGAACAAGAGGACAAGGATGACTACCACCCTCGATCCTTGATGGTAGCGATAAATTTGGCCCGGAGGTACCCAGAGGGCTCCAGCACCCTTTTCAGCACGGGAAGCCACCAATCCTCTATAGATTCATGAATGACCGTTGCCAAGGCATACTCCATGTATTCAGGGAAAAATCCACTGTACCCCCAATCGACGATGCCGGTGAGCTGGCCATCTTGAACCATAATGTTCCGCGCAGACAGATCACCATGTGTCAAAACGAACTTTGAAGGGCTCTTCTTCCTCATCTTAGGCAAGTATCGCTTCCAGAATGCCTGTTGGTAAGGAAACTTATCTCTGGAAAAGCACCACTCATCAAATTCCTCTTCTGAGGCAAAGGGGCCCATGTCATTATTGTGCAAGCGGTCGAAGAAATTATATGTCGTGACATTGCCGATACGGCCAATATACGGCTGGGTGTGTTTCCGCATCTCTTGTACCTTGAAAAGGTGAGCACAAATTGCTAAGCCAGGCGATGTAGATGAAACTCTACCTGATGCTTGAGTTGGAGTTCAATGTTCTTCTTTTGAGACTTGGTTAAGGTGTGCCAGAATTTATCAAGCGAATCGCCAGACACCCGGTCAGTCACTGTGGCTATAACACCCCTCTTCACGTAATAGCAACCGCGTACCCGAGGTGTGAGGATCCTTTTTTCATGGGCATACTGCATCATTTCAGCTTCCGATTGCCTGTAGTCTTCCTTCCGGTTCACTTTCACAGCGACCAAGTTCCCGCTTGTGGTTCGGGATTCCACCACGCGGTTTCCCATATACTCGTAGAGGTCTGTGCCTTGTATGATGCTCCGATATTCCTCCAGCTGCTTAGCCAGGCGGGCCTCGATTTCCTCTACCTCTGACATGTTGTAGATGATGGCGAAGCCGCGAGTGTGAGAGTATGACTGAGGGAAGGAAGGAAGGGAGGTCGCGAACTACTGTTGGGCGTCCTCAAATGAGCCGCCCGCGCGCGCCGACTACCGGAGCGGGAGAACTTCTTAGCACAGTGCTTCATTATTCCGCACGTGCGCCATAGTTAGTTCTATCTGTCTCATTCTGTTACGTATACTCTGTCTTCGAGGGCAGGCATGGGTGGGTGAATAGGTTCCTGCCCACTCCCGAGCAGGCAGGCATCGGTGGGGAATACGTTTCGCCAGCGGATGTCCCCCGCTTATCTACCTACTCCAGTACGGTAAACATCGGCCATAAGCAATAAATTACTCTAGTAAGAGTAGTTTTGTATGGAAGGAAAGTCAAAATATAGTAACTACTTAGTACGGAAGTTTCCAGAAATTCAATATGTAAATTAATTTAAACTAGTAGTGATTGAGTTGTTATAAATAGAGGATTCCCATCTACTTCTCTCGTCTTAGGTATTAGGATTCAGTCTAGTACGCTCTGGACTGTGAATCCTCCAAATGATACCGCTAGGCTATCCAGTGAGAGATTAGAACTCCGAGTCAACAGAGCCAGGATGGTCACTTCTTATAAGCTGACTTTCACTACTACGGGTGGATGTGAAATCGGATCTTCACATAAGGCTCTCTTTAGATTGAATGACAAGAAAGGTATATAAACAGAGACATGGCTGTGGCAAGTACTAACTAGCACAGAATGTTCTCCATCCATCTTCTAACATTATTATCATTGGACTCGGAATGTCGAGTCTTTCTAGCATTAGTTTAGCTTCTATACCAAAAGACCGGCCGTTGCCGCTGCATATTATATCCTGGGGACATGGCAGTCTTTCTTTATCACTGGGCCATCTTTCTGCCTTACCAAATGGGTGGAACAAAAGGGATCCTCTATCACATTGACTATGAAGAGCGCAGACGCTGCATCGCGTGTACCACATCTTCTAGGTTATCCAAAGAACCTTTCAGAGCTCCCTAAAGAAGACCCACCAGATCGTTCACGATACCTGATGCTTTCGCTACTTTTGCACAGGTTGAGTATGCAGTGAACAAACTGTACGAGAACTACAAGATATATAAAATTTTCACTCGAAACTGTCAGCTTTTCGCGCTGGATGCATTCCTGCGATTGCATCAACTCTACCCGACTTCTGTACCGGCCGGTGCCATTCGAGACATACGTCGCCGTGGAACTATATCGACCTTTCTTGCGCTCAGCATACGAGGAACTCCAGTGGTTTATTCCATGTCGGAAGACCGACTCGGCAATCCTAACCGCTATGAGATCGACTAGCGCAAGAAGACCTACGTGCCAGTAGAGGACGGCCTGCCAACCGTTCGCACTGATGACAATACTACCCTCACTGGCCCGGCCACTCGTTCAACTTATCCCTAAAGCCCTGACGCTGGCCCTCCTCCTCATTCCACTGAAAGGACCGATACTGGCTTTTCCACACGTCCTCTTGCTCCGCAGCCTGACACTTAACGTCAGCCCCCAAGACCGTGGACACGTGCAAGACCGCAAAACTACATACTTTCGTCGTACTTCACTCGGTCCGCTGCTCGAGTTGCTGGACAGCTAGTTGAGAAACACCTGAGTGATTTCATGCTTAATACTCATTCAGTGTATCTGTTATGTTGTCGCTATACTTGGGGTTCAGTTGCGCTGTTCACTTTTATATCCTTGCTTTCCTGTCTATTTCAGTGCACGATACCTTGGTTCTTCCGTCTCCGCTGCATTATTTCGCATATTTTGCTTTGGGAATTTTATCTCATGTCTCTCTCTCTCTTTGTCTGATATCTTCTAGCTATCTCAATTAATCGAAGTGCACCTATTTCCTTTCAGATATCTCCGTTTATTTCCTATGGATCTTCCAAATGCTTTCCTGACCAGTTCTTTGAATTTGTTCCGGAGCTTCTCGGAGACCTTGTATAAGTAATCATCGTAAGCATCTGATGCATGGAATATTTAATTATCCGTATGTTGCTGAATGTCCATGGGAATATCATCGTCAACAAAGATATTTGCACGCCGGAGTAGTTTGTAACGATATTGCGCATCACTTAGCCTGGGTGGGCTGCTGGACCGTGACCGTTGTGAGGAGCGGGTGGATGGAGAAGGTAATGGGATTACTGGTATGCCGCTTATACTTTGCTCTGGGGCCACATCGAGACGCGTGATAATAGGAATAACCAGGCACGGGCACTCACTAATCCCCAAACGGGTATAGTGCGCGGGATTGCCAGAGGGACCGACCGATAAAGTTTCCCGCTGGTTGATACCGTCATCGTTCTTCGTCCATCAGGCAGATCAATGGAATGCTAGCAATGCTTGTGAAACATTCTCGTCATTGACCATTGTTCTTTACTGCAGAATTTTCTTCAGAGATTTGGTGGTTCTAGCCTCACGCTGAATTGGGAGACTGAAGCATCTTAGAGGCACCGATAAGACTAGATATCATTGCCTCTGCTTAGTTCCCGGTTTGTTTACAAACAACAAACCCTCGTCTCTCTGCATGGCGTAGACTCGCCCTGGTGGCAGGATGCGAACCCAACGATTTGTGGTCTGGCTGGGCACATTTGTCCTCGTCTCCCTATTCCTCATCTTCTTCAGAAGTCCCAGCCCCTCACCCTCACCTATTGTGGACCTCTATCCTTCTCCCGATTCTCGGCCTCCGACTACTTTGCAGAGGCCCCCCGTGCCGTCCAATGCCCAGCTTATTGAACAGTCTGGCCTCCGAAAGGCTGCTCAGCCGGACAGTCTTCATCCGATTGCATCGCTTGTCAATAATGCGGAGCAGCAATTCGATCGGCTACTGTCACGTCAATCGAAGACCTTGGCTCAGGCTGTCAATGAATATCGAGAGCGTTACAACATGCACCCGCCCCCGCATTTTGACAAATGGTTTCAATTTGCTAAAAATAGAGGGGTTCAACTGATTGATGAATACGATACAATCTATCATGCTCTATTGCCATTTTGGGCCCTCGAACCGAAGACTATTCGCGATCGGGCTCGCGAGACGCTGGGCTTCGACAATTCTATGATCGGCGTACTGATCAGAAATGGATCTGTGTCACTGGTGGAAGGCGGAGCATTCGAGCAGAGCTGGCAGCGCAGTGCCACCGCTAAGATGATCGAAAGTTTTGTCGAGTATCTGCCTGATATGGATCTTGTATTCAATGCCCTCGATGAGCCTCGAGTCGTTGTACCCAGCGAAGATCTTCAGAGGCTGGTTGCTATTGCGAGAGAGCAAGTCTCTCAGAATACTATTACGAATACCATGCCTACAAATGCATGGTCAGATAGACCAGGCGACTTGGACAAAGGTGACCGCATTGATGAAGTGCGTACTACTCGTTTCAACCGGTTCACCCGTCAGTCCACGTGGAGTTATTCTCGATCTTCCTGTCCGATCGACAGTCCGGTCCGGTCTCTTGATGAGCGGGCCGCGGACAATATAAACTCCTATGCTCAGGGCGAATTAGGATTCATATACAACACCAGTGCCTTTTCCGATATTTGCAACTCACCTTCCCTCCGCCACAAGTACGGGTTCTTTGACCGGCCGAACAGGTTCGAGGCTGTGCATGACTTGTTCCCGGTCTTCTCGCAGAGCAAGATCTCGAGCTACCAGGACATTCTGTACCCAAGCCCTTGGTACTGGTCTGACCAAGTACCTTATGAAGAAGACAAAGATATGGAGTGGAACGAGAAGAGCAGCCAGATGTTCTGGAGAGGCTCAACAACTGGAGGATACTCCAGGGCTGGCGGCTGGCGGCGGCAGCATCGACAATTGTTCGTCGGCAATGTCAATGCCCTCAATACAGCCAAGATACTGTCCAGGACTGAAAGTAACCAATGGAAGGCCAGGGGAGTTGGTCGAAACTCCTTTGCAGATCTCTTCGACGTTCGGTTCACATACATTGGCCAATGTGATGACAAGGACTGTGCCGCCCAGGAAGAGTATTTTGAGTTGGCGGAACCGGTTGATCAGCAAGACGCTTGGGCGTACAAACACCTGCTGGACATGGACGGGAATGCGTTCAGTGGTCGGTTCTATGCGTTCTTACGCAGCCGGAGTCTCGTTCATAAGGTCTCAATCTTCCGCGAATGGCATGATGAGTGGCTCAAACCCTGGACACATTACGTACCTTTGAGCCTAGCCGGAGATGATTATCTGGAGGCCATACGCTACTTTGAGTCCGAAGAAGAGGGCAGAGTGATCGCACCAAGACTTGCTCAGCAAGGCCGGGAATGGGCGCAGAAAGCTCTTCGAAACGAGGACATGGAGGTCTGGTTCTTCCGACTTCTACTAGAGTAAGTGCACTCTTTGTATCTTTTGCTTTCCTAATACTAAAAAACCATCCAATAGGTACGGGCGCCTAGTTGACGACAGCCGACATAATCTGGGCTTCTCGGTCTAGCTTTGTATGATCACTGCCAGGTTTTGCTATTTGCTTTCTGTTCTATTCCCCAATGTTTAACGAACGTACGATATATATGGCGTTTTGGAGCTTTTGCTATGATGAGACGAAAATCTGGAATTGCCAATTGATGTGTATATATGAGTTACGAAAAATCGAAAAGAAATTCACATTTTATATCCTTAGTTATGCTGTCGCCCTGTACCAAACACCACTGCACAAAAAATCCTTATACTCTCAGAATTAATTGTGGCCCCGTTTCACATGTTGCGGGTCCCATCTGAGCGGGTATTAGGTCATCGGGCCCCAGTCTCTCGTCTCTTCCTCCCATAGAGTTACTTTGGTTAGTTCCAGAGAAAGAAGAGCTTGGGTGGCGGAGACCTCTTCCAGTCTCGGAATTTGCCCCATTAATAGACAAGCACTAACCAGCACTGGGTAGTTTAAGGCTATCAAACACACACTTACCATTATGCTTGCTCACCAGCCAAGAACCGTTTCCCCTCCACTTCAATCCTTCCATCTTTTCCACTAAGATCCTCCCTCCCTCCCCCCTATCCTATTCGGACTAGTTCCGTCAGGTGGATCTTCTGTTTGCTCTGCTCTGGTCTATAAATTTGCCTCGGCCTCCGCTGGTTAGTTGTTATCGTCAGCTCATCTTCTTCCCTTCGATTTCTTTGTTCCCTTTTTTTTTATTTTGCGATCTTTCAGTCGTTGGACTTTACTAAAGTACTGTAGTGCTGGTGATTGAGATTGATTGTTTGACAGTTTCCGTGTCTGCATGGGATAAAATACATGCATGCATGCATCATGACGCCCACAGCTTGGTTGCTCGGAAAGCTTAAATCGGCTGTGATTCTGACATATGGGTTGGGTGGACTGTTGTTTTATGGCCTTGTTGCTGTGAAACTGGGGTATTTCTTCAAGCAGACTACTGAAAAGGAGGAGTTGGAGCTGAAGATCGGTAAGAATTTTGTCTATGTTGCTTTTCTTTGTTTTACGTGCTATGCTGGGACTGTGCGGGGGACATAAAGCTGATGACTTATGATGAATCCTAGCGCGCAACAAGTTCTGGGACTTGTCCAAGGATTGGGCTGGCTTTTCGCATCATATACTTAGCCTGAAGAACGGGTTCAAGTTTCACTACGTTTGCAACGACCAAGGAGCCTCGGTGGATCAGGATAAACCTGTGGTTGTCTTTATCCATGGATTCCCCGATAGCTGGGCCATCTGGCGCAATGTTCTGAGCTCTTCGTCTCTTCAGCAGTCTGCGACGCTCATTGCGGTTGATATGCCTGGTTATGGTGGGACTGATAGCTTGGCTGATTACTCGCCTACTAATGTGCTCGAGAGTCTGACGGAGTTCATCCTTGCAATCAGAGCCAAATATGGCGTGGATACGGAGGCTGGTATGCGCCAGAAGAAGCTGGTTGTTGTCGCGCATGACTGGGGCTGTGTTGTTTCTATGCGACTTGCGGCTGAAGCTCCTCAGTTGGCGGATCGGTTTATCTTGAGTAATGGGCCGTTGGTACGTTATTGCAGAGATTCTACGGGTATGTTCGGTTATGCTGATGATGTTAGCCTGCACTTGCCACGTCCAACATTAGTCGTCTGCTGTCTGCATCTGTTAAGATGTTGAAGACGGCCTCGCGCTCGCCGATCCAGTCGCGTTCGATGATCTACAAGGCCTTTGCCACCATGAGCCCCGTTTACCGGCAATTCTTCAAGTCCAAGTACATCTTTGCTATGCAGCTGCCCATGCCTCTCGTTCGGTTTTTCGGAAGGGGTGGGAATTATTCCTTCCTGAAGCTCATCCACAGAGGCTCCTTCGGAAAGCGGGAGTATACATCTCAGGATGCTGCGGACTGTTTTGCTAGCTCCTTGGGTCCGTCAGTTGCAGAATCCAGGACTCAGACCGCTGATGGCGAGCAATATCCCGAGTCACTGAAGAATGAGCGCGCACCGTCGAGCTTCCAGCACATGGCCTGCTATTACAGAGATGGAACTGCTTACGCGCGTTGGGACAAATCTGTTGAGACGATTACTGCCTTGCACAGCATCGCGAGCGGTAGCGGTGCCCGTCGTGCCAGCAGCGGGGCTGGACTGTTTGATGACGGACCCAAGGGGGCCCTGAAAGCTTGTGCGACCGTTATTTGGGGCAAGGGAGACATTGCCTTGGAGCCGCAGATCTGCTTGGATGGCCTCGCCGATTACCTTGTCGCAGACAGTCAGTTGGTCGAGCTTCCACTCTCGGGCCACTTCACTCCGATGGAACGGGAGAGCCAGGTTGCCTTTGAAAAGGCGGTTGAGTGGGCTGTCAAGGGCGAGAAGGAGGACATCGGGGCGGTTATGAAGGCTTGCTATCCAACAGCTGTAGTGACTCTTCGGAAGTGAACTGATCCGATCGTGTTGTTTGCTTGAATTGCTATTTTAGGACGGATGCCCTCCCTTTGGCCTAGTCCTTCCTTAGTTGTTGTGAATGTTTTGCCGAGACTGGCTCAGCAGGTGCAGGGGGACACAAAGCCAGGTACACGGTTTCTTGTTTCCGCGCCGAGACCGCTATCGGTGCACTCCAAGGGGGAATTAAAGAGTGCGGACATGCAAGGGGCATCCGCGGAGGTTGGCTGTCGGTCTGGCTTCTAGGCTGGTCTGCAATCGGAATTCCACAGCTTCTTTCCCTTTCTCCTTTAAATAGACGGGAGTTTTCGCAACGCAACGTGCATCACCTCCGACATCCGGTGAATGAACGGCCGGGAGGAGCAAGCGTCGGTGGCACGGGGACGCGGCCTGATGCAGTTGAGCTCTGCCGCTTCCTCACCAATAATCCCTGGCGTTGGCTTTGGCTCCTTTTGTTTCCCCCCTCAGACCATCCCCAGCCAGTGCACGCGCATTGACTTTTTCTTCCCCCAGAGTAGTAGTCCCGAGCCACGAACGAGCTATCCTTTTTATTTTATATTTTCTTTTCTTGTATTTTCCATTCCCCATCATTCAGCAAGCACAGCAATTCAATTCAGTTGTCGTGTGGGTATTCGTAAATCCAACCAGAAAAGAAGTCTGGTACCATCCGCATCTTGACTCCCCCAGCCTCCCAAGGACTGCTCACAGCCGGGCCCGACTTTGCTGATTGCTGATTATGCTGGCGGGCGGGGTTTAGCTCCAAACGTCACCTGCGAGTGAGGGGGATCGTAGTAATTTGGGGGTGAACTAGCTCAGTACCTCCTAGACTAGCTCTCAACCTGCCTTCTCTCCTCTTTGTTTTCCTTCTCGTCTTCGTGCACCTCACACTCGTTTGTTTTTGTTTCTTTGCATCACTCCCTTTTCTCGTAGCTGGTGGTCTCGTGGATCGCGCGGCTCACCTCCCGCCGCAATGGTTCAAGGAAGTGCCGTTTACTGCACTGTATGTTCCGCCTCCTCATCCCGTGATCACGTTGCCTGCTACTAATTGGTCCCCCAACAGCTTCTACTGAGTGATCACTATCTCCCAGGTATGCTTGCTCCTGTGACCGTTAGAACTACCGTTCAGAGCTCCATTCCTGACTTGCTCCCACTCAATCTATAGGCGCCACCGTTCTTGCTCATTCTCTCCGCGACAATGGCTCCAAAGCTAAGCTGGTTGCTCTGTTCACCCCGGACAGCTTGCAGCCAGCAACAATCCAGGAACTTCAGGTGCGCGCGCATGCTTCGTTCACGCTAAACAATTCCCACCTCACAGGGCCAGTCACTGACTAGCACGCCTTAGGCTGTCTATGATGAACTAATCCCCGTGCACCCTCTGACAAACATCACTCCAGCGAACCTCTGGCTCATGGATCGGCCGGACTTGATTGCAACCTTCACAAAGATCGAGCTCTGGCGTCAAACACAGTACAAGCGCATAGTCTACATTGATTGTGATGTGGTCGCACTCAGAGCGCCCGATGAACTCCTAGAGTTGGACGTGGATTTCGCAGCGGTTCCAGATGTAGGCTGGCCGGATTGCTTCAACAGCGGTGTTATGGTGCTCCGTCCTAATTTACAGGATTATCTTGCTCTTAGAGCATTGGCAGAGCGAGGTATCAGTTTCGATGGCGCTGATCAGGGTCTTTTGAACATGCACTTTCGCGATTGGCACAGACTGAGCTTTTCGTACAATTGCACACCTAGTGCGAACTACCAGTATATCCCCGCCTACAAGCATTTTCAAAGTACGATCAGCATGATTCATTTCATTGGTGCTCAGAAACCCTGGAATATGGCGAGGCAGGTGGAACCAATTCAATCTCCCTACAATCAGTTGCTGGGAAGATGGTGGGCTGTCTACGATAGGCACTATCGTCCTGTTGTGACTACGAATGTCAGTACTATCCCGTGGATAGCCGTTGAGGCATCTCTACATAGTGTCTATGAGCTAATTATACCAGCAGCAGCCAATCCAGCTACCTAAGCCTGTGCCTACAATTCAGGTGGAAACCCCACATCAGGATTTCTATGGGGGTCACCAGGAGGATGTACAGCCGCCGCCGCCGCACAGAGAGTATACGGAGTATGTGTCTCATGAGCAAGCTCAAGAAACACACTTCGAACCGTCGTCGCAAGCGCAATACGAACACCCGCAAGAACATCAACAGATTTCTCACCAGGACTTCGCGCCGTTCCAGCCAGCTCAGCCACCAACTCAACCACCAGCATCGGCACCAAGCTACCCTACACAAGTTGCGCACGAGGCTCCACAGGTGCATCAAACGCATGAGACTTACCAAGCACATCCTCAACAGAGTGTGGCAGCACCAGCTCCTGAACCTACGCCTGTAGCAGGCTCAAGCATACCCACCAAGCACGAGCAACGACAGGAACAGCGTGCGGTTGAGAGTGCACAAGCACCAATCATAAGTGCTGTTCCGCGGTATGTTCGTGGGGAAGAGCATGTCACGGCATACATACACCCTCAATCAGGCGAGACATCATTTGTAGCCCATAGCGAGCCGCAATCGCGTGCACATGAACCTAGCGTGCCATCGCATATACAAACACCTCAGCCACAGTCACAATATTTCCAGCACGAATACCATCAGCAGCCTACAGAGCCAGCCAATGTGTCTGAAGAGCAGCCACCTGCACCGCCATCTCCGAAACCTGAAGTACAGACTACGTTTGAGCCGCCCAAGGCAGAATGGGATGCATCCAAGTAAGCCACTGAGGAACTTATCAAATCGCTTATTGCTAATGCTTCTAGGGAACCTCCGCCACTGAACACGAAGCCAGAAGGTATCGCTTTGGAGAAGAAGACCTACGCCATGTCGCAGGATGAGCAGCTCTTCCAGCCTCCAGAATCCTATCCGGAAGCACCAAAGAACATGTACTATGAAGTCCCAAGCACCAAGCCGGAGCCCGAAAAGCTTGCCCAGGTATTTCCCTGGGAGACTCGTGCGCCTAGACCAACGCGTGTGTTCCCAGAAGACGACCAGAGCTCAACTACATTTACCCTTCCAAGATCATTCGTTGAAAGCACGGAAGACGAGTCTGGCCCGTCACCTGATTCTCGAGTGACATCCTGGACATCTGAAGATCCAACTGAATCCTGGGACTCTTACACGCGGTCTAATGCTTGGGACGAAATCCCGGAGATCCAAAGATACATCCAATCCATACAACAAGCCCGCAAAGGCAAGGTGCAGGTGCTCACCGGCGGCCCATCCAGCACAGGACAGAGCCTAGTATCCGGCCAAGAAAGATACACTTTCAGCTGGTCCAACAATACACGGGTGACAGACTTTCCCAGCGAGCAAGAACGGCCTAGCCTCCCCGTAACCCCCGCACCTATTCGCAGAAAGCCCCCTATCCCAGGTGAAGAAGACTCCGACACAGGCCTACTTCCGCCCGCACACGGTGTGCCGAACCAGGAGGACTGGGTGGGTATCACGGTTGATATCTTTTTGCACCTCCTTCGAGCGACGTACTTATATTGGAGATTTACAGAACCCTACAGTCGGCCTCGAGGACCTTCGTCGACGTCAGTCCGAAGTGTTGGAAAATCCAGATTTGCTGTTTGAGCGGATCTTGATGCGCTCATCGGCTGCTTCTGGTCATGCTTGAGGGAATCATAGTCATGAGTTTACGTACGATATTATGTGTGAAATGCGTTTGTTTGGAGCATTGATTTTTTCTATTCATTCCTCGGCAATGCGAGTTTTATCTTTATCCCTTAGCTAGCTGTCTTGTGCTTTGCATTTTGTGTTTTGTTTGTGTACACAGCATTGTTATCTTCGCTAGTCCTCTCTTCTTGTTTCTTCCTTCTATACCTTGTCTGGCATTGTACAGTATCTTATTGACCCACATGCATATGCATCCGATTGCTGTGTTGTTTCGTTTTGCGGATACAAACTGTTACTATGCCATACATTAGGAGCGCAGCCTTGTGATTTTGACCTGCTTTGAGTGTCTCAAGACTGAGTTGACGACTGTTATTCTATGTTTATTAATACTGTGGTTTGATTGAGCGAATGAAAGAGCTATGATGTGTTGTGAGAGTTTGGCTCTAGTCAGCAACTCCTCAACCTTCTAAGAATATTTACATGCCCTCGTCTAATCTATTTCACAAACAGCAGATGGATATCGAGTGACAAGACGCCATACAACTGAACGCAATCACCAAGCTAAGAATAAGTAGGGGTGGTATAAATAAGAAAAAAGAACAAACAGCGACTGAAATCAACACCGCTCTCCCCGGACCGAATAAACATGCGACGTCTTGATATGACAGGCCTTGCCGGTCTTATCGTCGAAGATGGAGAAGCCGTGCGTTGCTGCGTTGGGAGGAGTGTATACTTTCAGCTCGTTAGCATAGGACTCACTAATGGTAACAATAATATTATAATGACGGAACCTACAATGCAACGACACGGCGTAATCATTAGGATCCGGATTCGAGATTCTATGAAGGCCCAGCTGTAAAATGCGACTCATTGTTAGCCATGCTACTCCAAGCTAATACCCAGTCCAATCATAATAACCGGAAATATCAGACGAACCTTGTCGGACATATACGTAACCTGATTCTCACCGTATATAGTCTCCTTTTTGATTTGTGGTGGAGACGATTCTCCATTTTGGAGCTTGTCTTGGTCTGGCCAGGCATAGAGGGTTTCTTTCAAAGAGCCTTTTAGAATCTACATTAAAGTATTTGGATCGGTGGTTAGCTTTGTGGGCGGATGACCTCTTTCTTTTGGAGAATATACTACCTTCATGACGCAGTGCGCATTGGCGTGATCATGTATTGCGCTTCCTTTTCCGGGGCTCCAGACTAGGATGAGCTTGAATGTCCTTCGTCAGTATATATCCCTGATAGTACTTTGCCTTTATGCTATTGTACATAATGGCGGTGGGTAAATGCAAGCAAAGTACGAGCAACTCACCAGATTGCTCTTGCCATTGCCCTCATCGATGAGGTTCCTTGTGTAATTCTTTTTCGAGTCTCCCAGCGCAAAGTGGAGCCATTCATCTTGATTCGAATCATATCGTTCCATTAAACGCAGGATGTCCATTGGATCGATGTCATCGGAGTCTAGACCCGAGCTCGGACCCAGAGCGTCACTTAGATCTTGGACGAGGTTCTCGAATCCATTGCTAGAAGGGCAATTAGATTTGGAGAGGGTGTCTGTGTTGATGTATGGCATGTTCGTTTTGGGTCTGTTCTTTTTTATTAGAGCTGGGAATAGTGCTTTTGTGCTTTTCCTTGGGTCAGTGTTGTATGGTATAGATATTTTCGGTTATCGGAGGATTCGGAAGGAAGTATAGATGGTGGTAGAGACAGAGTGCAGAAGGAATGTGTAGGTGTCCTTGAGTGGACAAATTGGACTTATGAATTGGATGCAAACAAGAATAGTAACTCAAACAGCATCCATTGCAGCCACTAAAAATACGAGTCACCAGCCCATGTATCTGAACGTTAAGAATTGCGTGATGGTGGATATGTGGGATGAACCCCGATCCCGGCGGAAGGAAAAGCTCTTGCCACAATCGCCGATAAGCGTGGATTTGATGCCTGAACATTTCATGCCTGAGGCAACCTCCCCGCCATGTGACGAAGCAAACGGACAAATGAAGTGGCGGCCACAATTTCAAAGATTGTATCTCCACCATTGCGACTGACATACCGCGAGCGTTTTCGTTCAGGTTTTCTCACCACGACACCGTTGGAAAAGGGTTTTCGATCGCTAGGGCGGAAATCCTACAGTTTTAGATTTCCTTGATTTTCTTTCTTTTTGTCTTGCATAGTCTCTTTTCTTTTTTGTACCGTGTGCGAGGGGTGAAACTCGTATAAAACCGCCAAAATGTCGACAACCGTGGAGAAGGTTGGATAACCCGCCACTATTGCTCGATTTTATTTCTCTTTACTGTTCATATTGAAAGTTATAATATCAGACTGGATTATGCTGACTGTCTTTGTGTGTACAAATGTAGATCAAACAAGTCGAGGACGAGGTTCGCGCCGAACGCCCGTTAAATTTATCTTGCGCCGGAATTCGTATACTGATCGGTTATTCAGATGGCTCGGACTCAGAAGAACAAGGCGACGGCTTACCACTTGGGTATGAGACGAATGGGTTTGGACGTGGTTCGCGAACAGACAGAGCTGATGGTATCGTGCAGGACAGTTGAAGGCCAAGCTTGCTAAGCTGAAGCGAGAGCTGTTGACTCCGACTGGCGGTGGTGGTGGCGGCGGTGGTGGTAAGTGGAGAGTGACTGTATCGAATGGAATTGTCAGTTATTGACTATTGGATTGCTAGCTGGTTTCGATGTCGCCCGTACCGGTGTTGCTAGTGTGTATGTCGCATGACAAGTCTTGGAGTGTGGGATATATACTGACTCTGAATAGTGGTTTCATCGGTTTCCCGTCCGTCGGAAAGAGTACCTTGATGAGCAGATTGACTGGCCAACATTCCGAAGGTTCGTTGCAGGCAAGTCCCAGTCAATGGTATGGTGCTAACGGTACTTTGTATAGCTGCTGCTTATGAGTTCACAACTTTGACGACTGTCCCTGGTCAAGTGATGTACAACGGTGCTAAGATTCAGATTCTCGATCTTCCTGGTATTATTCAGGGTGCCAAAGATGGTAAAGGTCGTGGTCGACAGGTCATTGCAGTGGCCAAGACCTGCCATCTCATTTTCATTGTGCTCGACGTCAACAAGCCGCTAGTCGACAAGAAGGTCATCGAGAACGAATTGGAAGGATTTGGTATCCGTATCAACAAGCAGCCGCCCAACATCACTTTCAAGAAGAAGGACAAGGGTGGTATTGCCATCACAAGCACCGTTCCTCTGACGCATATCGATCACGACGTGGGTTTCCAGAGCACAGAGTACGTTGACGTGCACTCGGGCTGACTTGGATCATTAGGAAATCAAAGCTGTCATGAGCGAGTACAAGATCTCGTCGGCAGATATCGCCATTAGATGTGACGCAACGATTGATGACCTTATTGATGTTCTTGAAGCTAAGAGTCGGGCTTACATTCCCGTTGTCTATGCCCTGAACAAGATTGACGCTATTACGATTGAGGAGTTGGATTTGCTGTACCGGATACCTAACGCCTGCCCGATCAGTTCTGAGCATGGCTGGAACATCGACGAACTTTTGGAGATGATGTGGGCAAAGCTCAACCTCCGACGCATCTACACCAAGCCTAAAGGAAAGGCACCCGATTACACGGCCCCCGTGGTGCTCAGAGCGCATGCTTGCACGGTCGAGGATTTCGTAAGGCTCCCTTTACCTCGGCAGGTCCGACCATCCTTGTTAGACGGGATCCGCTGACGCGCAATCAGTGTAATCAAATTCACAGGACGATCAAGGACCAGTTCAAGCACGCTATTGTGTATGGCCGCTCTGTGAAGCACCAGCCGCAGCGTGTTGGTCTGTCACACGAGCTGGCAGACGAAGATATCGGTTCGTACTTCTTTAGCTTCAACCTCAAACACGCGATCATTAGGATCTCCAGAGCTAACTAGCGGGGGTGTGAACTGCAGTGTCGATTGTCAAGCGGTAAATGAGGCTTTACTGGAGCGCGAATCCAATCCTTGAAGGATCCGCTTTTATGAACGGGGCGAGAGCTATGGCGAATCGAAATCGGACTCGAATAGGGAATCGAAATCGGTAGCGGTGTTGGGGCTGCTTCGCCAAGTATCAGGTCCAAGAGGCCCGGCCCTTGTGACATATTTCCGTGAGATGCCATAAGGATTGTGATTGGGGGAAGACGAGGTGCGCACGGGCAGCAAGAAGAAGCTGGCGAACGCCGCCCTGGAATTTCAGCACGATCACTCGTCTGGAAGACGGAAGCCTGGATGGGATAGACACCATGGAGTCAGTATGGATCGGATTGCTTCTCTTCTATCTACTACTACTCAAATCTGTGTGATGCGCGATCCTCTTTTAGGAAGGCGAAGGAGGAGAAGAAAAAACAAAAGCGGCTTTGGAGGCAGGGAGTTTTTGTTACGAACGCTGAAAAAAAGGGCTGGAATAGGGTACTATTTTCTTTTTTCTTTCTTTCTCTTCCAGTCTGTTCTCCTGGATCAGCGGTACTTAAGTAGTCCTGCCGTTTTTATATTTTCTTTTATTTTTTGGGGTTTCATCTTTTTTTTTTTTCTTTCTATTCTTGTTTCTTTAAATTTTTTGGAGCGTTCCTTCGACCCATCCATCCATCCATCCTTGGTTGATGATGTACTATGGTCGAAGCCGGTTGTCCCGATCCGAGAAAAAGACAAGAGAAAGAAAGACAAGAAGATCGGGGATGTTCTAGATCTAAAGGCCCAGACTAGCATTTCCAGTCTCGTAGACCAACATAAACTAAAGTAGACTACCTACCACACACATACTTCCATTTCATGCGCACACAGATCAATCGAGTAACTCTCGAACCACTAGTTAGTAGTTACAAAGTTCCGTGCGGAGGGATTTGCTTCGCTTACTACTACTACGTACTTATACCACCTACCTTTCGGTTCCTTAATTGATTTGATTTGATTTAATCATGATTGATTGATTGACCGACCGCTACCTTCCTTCCTTCCTTCCTACCTGGCCCAGGCGCATTTCAGTTGTCTGTCTATTTATTCTCAGATTTAAGTTCAAAGCCGGCTTCCACATCCACATCGCTTGGACCAGCCGAACCCAGGCCTGTGCTTTGATTACTAGTTAGTTAGCTAGTTAGCAAGCAAGCAAGCAAGCAAGAAACTCGAAAAAGCAAGAAAGCAGAAGAAAAACCACAGCGCACGTCCCTCTGATTATTATTACTTTTATTTCTTATTCTTGTTTGGTTCTTCCCTTCCTTGCCGGGTTTCCTTCCTTATTGCTCTGCTTAATGCTGTCATTTACAGGAGTGGGAAGAGAAGCTATGATTCAGGATAGTAATGAAGATGATCCATGCGCTCAATGTCAAGTGCCATACATACGCACTGTCCACATTCCCCGTGCTTTGGGCTATCTGATCATCATAACTCTTATCACCTGGTGATTTTATGCTGCTGCTGTGCTGTAGATTATGTATGTATGTGCGTTATGTATGTATGTATGTATGTGGATAGAAGGACTGAACACATTTAAGCATTGCTATTGCTTCTACTGCTGCGCTGGGATCGGGTTTGCGATTCGATCTGACTTATGCGAGGGGATGGTAGTAGTAGTAGTAGTAGTAAGTATATGGAGAAGATACCCTCGTCTGGTCTGGAAATTTGTATATACTACCTCAATGCTAGATGTAGATGGATAGTGTTTAGCAATTTGGATTGGGACAGCTCGCGGGTTGTTAGTTGAGTAGTAATGAGCCAGAATTTGAACATAGAAACAAAGGTAAGTAGCTAGATAGTAGGCAATCAGGAATCAATCTGACTTAACTACTACGACGGTGCTATTCTTACCGTTCGCGACCAATTTAGCAACTCAGGAGTCAGGTCCAATCAAGATGGAGAATGGGGTGGCTTTTCTTGGTCCATTTTAAACGAAGGCTCCATTTATACGAGTGGAGGGCCAAGATTGGAACGCCTCTGGGGTTAGTTAACGTAAGTAAGTAAGCAAGCAAGAAAGACACTTGAGATCGGTGTGTTCATTCTAGCTAATATGTAGCTGTTACTAGTTAGTTTACGGGTGGATTGAGGGGGGAATCGGTCGGGCACGACATTCCGTACACTCACTGGCAGTCGCCTCTTAACGTAGTATTCAGATTGGAATTGTGGTAATTCTTTGATATTGAACTAAATGAATTAATGTGGGAAAGTAATGCCATGCCCAACTTACAGTTACATAGTACTCTTGTAGTACCTGACCTTCTGCAGCTAATGGCTGCGCCTGCAGATGCGGACAGGGTCTGGGGTACTTGGGAGGAGAACACTTCGATAGGATACACTCACTCCATCCAGCAGGGATTATTATCTTATTAGTTGACTAGTTTAAGTAAGTACTACTTGGTAGTAAGGTAATGCGGTCTGCCCCCTTCAGCCGAGTCTTCATTTATTTCTCATTTGCTGGGATGACGTACCTGTCATGACCGTACGGTACGATTACCAGGAGAGGGGGTGTAAGTACCGATACCTACTATACTTACTGGAGTAGTAGTAAGAGAGGCGGCGTAATCGGTCAATCATTAGCCATCGTCTAGATACTAAGTAAGTATCCAGGCCATGG